ATTTCTATAAAGAGAAATGCCAAAACTGCAGCGTCCCAACTATATCTTTCAGCTTCATAAAAATCAATAAGATGACACAACCACATGCAATGCACCTGTCAATATTCTTCCAATGATTCTTAGTATATAAGTCCGAGCACATGTCTTTGCTTCATCCTCAGAAGCATTTTCATTCAAAACTTCAAAATTGGCTTTTAGCCATGATAAAACTATTCTACTTCCATTGAAATCTGGCGTAGCAGCTCCAAGATACTCCATGCATATTGACTTCCAATCACCATCGGCCACACCACACATAATATTTCCGTCAACGGGAAGCCTCAAATGCATTGAGACATCCTCTAATGTAATTGTACACTCTCCACATGGAAGATGAAATGTGTGTGTCTCAGGCCTCCACCTCTCAACTAATGCGGAAATTAGGATAGGTTCGAGTTTGCAACCGCCAATAACTTTTGCAATATACCTGAACTCGACAGAAGACAGATATGGCAAAATACGTGTTGGTGTCGGTATCCGTGGGTTTTTAATAAATGCCTCCAAAATACGATCATTTTCCTAATTAATAAGCATTCTAAAAATTTAAAATTAATATAAATTCATGATAAATTTAAATTAAAAATAATAATAAACATTAACATAAATTTTAAAAAATATTACCATATCACTAAAATGTCTGGAGATATGATATGCATCTAATTGCAGCAGCATTTCGCTTTCCATTATAACTGTAGACAAAAAAAATATAATTAGCACAAATAATAATTAATTAATAAATTTAAATAAATAATAATTATATAAATATTATTTTAATAAAAAAATAAAAATATTATTTTTAAAAATTATTTATAAAAAAATATAACAACTATTTAAAAAAACTAATTTAAAAATAAATTTATTGTCTCTAATAAGAAATTTAAAACTCAATTGAAGGGAAAATTTAAGTTATATTAGAGAAAAAGAGATGTTTTGGTGTGAAGAATGAGGGGGTTGAAGGGGTTTATATAGGGGATGAGAGAGGGAGGAGGGAGGGAGGAGGAGCATGTTAGGTGCGAAAAACGGGTGGGAATTTAATATATTTTAATGAAAAGCGTGCCTTGTAAACGCGTCTTACCCAGTGTCGTCGAACCCCGTGAAAGCGTCTCCCGAAAACGCATCTTACCCGCATGGCATCCCCGTTAGCAGAAACCTCACTAAAACGCGTTACCAGGGACGCGCCTTTGTGCCACATTAGACGAAAGGGTGTTAGTGAAATATTGGTCAAATGGTGTTATTTAGGGTATATTAGTTCATAGGGTGATTTTTAGGGTATATTAGGTTCATAGGGTGATTTTTAGGTCAAAAAGTCACTTTTCTACGACTCAAATCCAGCTTTTAGATTGTGATCTTACTAGTGGAACGGTACATTAAACTTTTGCAAGTGCCATATTAAGATTATCCAGCCATTCCTGATTGGTACGAGGCTTTTATTCTATTCTCAATGTAATATCTACACTATCTCTTGCGATCTCACTTCATTTTCGAATCCCAGACTCCAACATAAAGCAACACTTCAAACTATAAACTAATACTAATAAATTTTGGTGGCTGATTCACTGTCTTCCACTATTCTGCATTTACCAGTCGGTATATTTGAGCTGATCTTGTGTGGATAATATCAATCACCATTCCACTACTCTACTTATCTGTTACTCCTATAAATATACAACCTTGCAGTCCCACATTAACACAACCAAAACCTCAAAATAAAACAGAAGTTCTCCCTTTCTGCAATCAAAAATTAGGAATTTTTCTTTGTCTTCAATGGGAGTGTCTGATCATTTCGTTTCCTCTCTCTGTTGCGAAGTGAGAATCTTGGAAGCCAAAAACATAGAGCTGAAGTCCCATGGTAACCTTTTTGTCAGATACTATCTTCCTGCAGGGAACAACAAGAGAATTCAACTAAACACCAAGCAAATCTCCACTAAGTCATCCCAAATGATCATCTGGAACGAGTCATTCTCTTTGGAATGCTCAGCATCTGAAGCATCAGTTAAGTACCTGAAGCAACAGACTGTAGTTTTTGAGCTCCGAAGGAAGAAGAAACTGGGGAAGTCTGGGGTTTTGGGTAGAGCTGAAATTCCATGGAAAGCTGTTTTTGAATCACCGAACATGGAGATTGATGAATATTGGCTTGCCATGGTTTCGATGAATGATGAGGTTCTTGAAACTGGTCTCAAGCCTCCTTCAATACGTTTATCAATGAAACTGGTTCAAGGTCCAACGATGGTGGAGATGGAGAAGCAGAACAAGAGAAAACAAAGGTTGAAGAAGCATTGGGAAGGGTGTGGGTGCGAAGGCAGTGATGGAGGGTGCAACTGTGCTGCTGAATATGAAATATTTGCACTTGCAGCTGCCATGGAAGGACTACTTTAAAATAGTGGCCAAAGCACTGGGGATATTAGTATTGTTTTTCTTTTTGAATTGTATTTGTTTGTTATTATATTGTTGTTAAGAGATTAAGCCAATTTCTTGAAGGCTTTGAAAAAATTATAAATTTTTGGCTTAATGACTAACTGGGCGCTTAAATAGTTTTTAAAAAGACAATTCAGTCCTTAAATTTCTATATCCAATTAAGCCTTTAAACTCAAAAAATTAATTATTGTAATCTTTTGACCAATAAAAGTCGTCATTGATTGCTATAATGCGAACGTAATAATCCACATGTGAATAATGATGTTTCATAATGGTTTAATTTGATTCTTTTAGAATGTTTAAGGTCTTAATTGATTAATTTAAAAAGTTTGATGAATTGTCTAATCATTAAAAAATTTAAAATTTAAAATATTATTATAATCTTAAGAAATCATATTTTTTTAATATTCGAATGTATCTCATCATTCTTAGATTACTATTATTTCTTGAACATATTTTAAGTTGAACCATATAGTTTCTTTTGTTTCCCATCAGTCTTATTTTAGTCATTAATTTTAACAAATAACGATTTAATCACTTGTGCTATCTATATATCTTATTTTGATCATAAATCGTTAACCCAGTTTGTTTGATGCCGTGATAAATTAATACTAATAAAAAAACCTTCAAATTTAACCTCTAATTTTTTTTTATAAAAAAAAAATCAGTCTCTCTCTTTTTTTATTTAAAAACCCTCATTATTACAAAAAATATCTTATTTAACAGCTAGACATCATCTTTGCTACCGCCACCACAAGTCCTTTGTCCAAACCCCAATGCCTTTGCATCCTCAATTCCTCACCATTCGTAAATGGTTACTGACAAAGCAACAAAATTTCATTTCTAATTCAATTAGAGCGTGTATGAGTTTACAAGGTAGAGCTTGTGAGCGGACATGTAGTCGATTAAGGGGGTTGGATGTTCGATTGAGTAACGCTAGAGTGCATAGGGCTGTCAAGGCTTAGGCGAGGGCCTAAGATCACAGTATTACATCGTAATGTTTTTTAAGATTATCATGACATTGTAAATTGTATATGTATCAATAAAATATAATTATTTTTTTTAAATCACATCATAACATCTATAACAGCTCCAACAATGACATTGCAGTTGCAACTGTAACTGTAACGGTAATCACAACTGCAATTTAGTATTATTCCTAGGGTTCCAATAGCGAGTGTTGTTCGAAGGGACGAGGGTAGGGGTGTAAATGAACATAACATTTGGTGAATTGTTCCGAAATTGTTCGTATAAAATTAATTTATGTTCGTTTGTTAAGATAAATAAACGAGTATGAACAAAAAAATTATGTTCATTTAATAAACGAACGAACACGAACTAAGGTGTGTTCAGTTTGTTTATGTTCACGAACAAGCTCGTTTATGTTCACGAACAAGCTCGTTTATGAGCTCATTTATTTATGTTCATGAACAAGTTCGTTTACCCTATTTTCTTTTCCTTTTTTTTTACATTTTAAATATGGGTGAAGGTAGTGACTAAATTGAACACATAATTAAAATTTAAATTTAAATTGTGAATTTCAAAGAGAGATTAAGAACTAGTGGTGTAATTTAACCATTTTTTAGCTTGAAAGGGTAAAACTTAAGATCATACAAACAAACGATATGAACACTACTCAAATGCTAAATGAACACGTTCGTGAACATATAAATGAATAAATTTGTAAACATATAAACGAACACGTTCACGAATATTAGACGAATATGTTTGTGAACGATAAATAAATACACGAACACGAACATCTTCAAAAATAAATAAAAGAACACAAACACGAATCAAACGTGAATACTTAAAAAAAACAAACGAACACGAACATAATCTTATTCGTTCATTCTCGGTTCATTTATACCCCTAAGTGGGGGTTACAACTAGGGCATCCTATACTGGTGGTTTTAGCGAAGTGGTAACCAGTAGTTTGGACGAGAACAAATGTCGAAGAGTCTAAGATACCTGATGGAGTTGATGAGTATTATAGTTGCAGGAAAGTGAGGTTTGACCAACGAAGGCTATGGTTTGAGATATTTTTAACGGACAATGAGGGTAATCGATCGAATTCAGGAAATGAACGTAACAATATGAGGTTGAAAAACAAAAGGCGAGAGCGCCAGCGCGAAAACCACAAAGGGGATAGGTTTTCTTTCTTTCATTTTTTTTATTTGCAAAATATAGAAGAAAGGCAATGACTAACGGCAACGATGACAACAAACTCAAGATTAAGGTTTGGGTTAGAGAATAGACTTTTGAGGGAGTGTGAAAAAAATTAATTTCCGAAGATACATCGGTTCCAACTCTTGGCTCAGACTATTAAGACAAACACAACAAGGTAGATCTAGAATCGAATGGTGGCTAACTGATAATTAACTACCAAATGTGGGCGACAGTTGGATTTAGGCATTCATGTCTACGTAATGAAAAGCGGTGGGTTTTGGCATTCATAGCCGATTACATCCTTAAAGCCGCAATCTTGTGTTCTTACATCCAAATCCCTTGAATGTATCTCTGCTTTAATTCTGTTCCTAAATTCTGAAACATAAAGCGCCCACTTTTATTACTACTCAAACACTGTTTCAGTACAAGAAACCAAGTAAACTTCTGCAGCTTTCGACACACAAAGAACAACAAACAACCATAAAAACAAGAGACTAAAACATTATTCAGTGATTTCGACGACCCTAACATTTGGCCTCTGTGCAGCTTCAACATCTTTCCCTATAGTGACAACGAGCATCCCGTTCTCCATAAAACCCTGAATCTCATCCGTCCTCGCATTATCAGGCAGCTTGAACCTGCTCATGAAGTTCCCATCCTCGGTGCTTATCTGAAGCATCCTATCATCATCGATGAAAACTATGATTTCATCTCTGCTTACCCCTGGAAGGTAGACTTTGTAAACATGGGCCCTTGGGGTTTCCACACAGTTGAGTTGAATCCCAACGTATGGGAAAATCTCGGAGAAACCGGTGGAAAGAAATGAAGGGAAAGGGAAACCATGGGAGAATGGGTTTAATACATCGAAGTCGTTGAATAGTTCCCATAAGTCTAGGGAGAATGGATCACTGAACCTGCCTTGCTGGCCATTGTTTGGGACAATTGACATGGTTCCGGTGGGTTAATTGGGTGTGGTGGAGGAGAGGAGAGTGTTGAATGGTTGGAGATTCTGAGGAAGAAACAGAGGGAAAAGTAAAGTTTTATGCACCAGAAATGTCCATGACCGACATTTCCTCTTGTTTGGGACTTTCTAGAATATATGTGGGATTGACACTTTGAGCCTTGAACTGAGGTTAAGCCCACTCTACACCCCTTTTTCATATGCGTTTGAATTAATTTTCTTCTTTTTTGACCAAATCTTCATTGCTTATGATTTTGATCATATTTTGCAAAGCTTTGTATATGGATGTAAATTATCAGAACGTTTGACGAATTATTTGTATTTTTTATAAATTATTTGTATAGTATTCATTTATTAAGTTAAATAAACGATTATGAACAAATTTTTTATGTTCATTTAATAAACAAATGAACATAGATAAATGTTTGTTTGATTCATTTATGTTCACGAATTAGTTCTTCTATTGGCTTGTATAAGCCCATTTATCGACTCATTTATAAGATCATTTTTTGACTTGTTTATAAGTTTATTTACTTGATTCTTCTTTTTCTTTTTTTATATTTTAAATATTAGAGAAGATGTTGATTAAATTGAATATAAAGTGAACTTTAGAGTTTAAATTGTGAAACCTAAAGAAATTGAGGACGAGTGACATAATTTCAACATTTCTTTTGGCTCTCAAATAAAAAGGTAAAAAAGAAAGTGTTGGTTGTTATTAAACATACATGTCTACGAACCATTAAATAAACGAATATGAATATCTTTTAAAATAAATAACCATTTAAGCTGAATTCATTTACACCCCTGGCCTAGCTTTGTATTATTTTCTTCTTATTTTGACCGAATCTTAATTTTCCTTTTCGTATTTGTTTAACACGTCATGCCCTTCAAAATTACCATATCCAGTTTAAACAAAAAAAAAATCAATCTCCATAATTGTGAAAGAATTACTGAATCACTGGTAATATTTACCGTGGACTATTGACATTTAGAAGCTAAACATTAAGCAGCTGTTCTCAAAACGTACAAACTCTGAAGAAAGTACTCAACATGGAAATCTAAGAAAAATCTGAACTTACCCACATCCAAACCTGGTAACGTAGACTGAACCTATCAATAGTTTGTCTTAACTCTCAGTGTGAGATAAATCAATATCAATGTCCCAAACTTGACCTGAACCAAAGAAAGAATCAATGTCGTTGCTCAAACTGTATCAATCAGGCTTGATTACGCTTTTTTAACTAGTAAAAATGAGCTTGATTCTCATGCTCGACTTCTAACTCGATTTCTTATAATTGAGTAGTTGAGCTTGAGTTAGATCTTCCTAACATGTTTTTCAACTCTAATAGCAATCGATGTGAACAGATTACCATGAGCACCTCTGTTATCTGCTAGTTATTGTAATTCTCGTTGAAAAGAGAAAGTTTAAATGTCAAACCACAACATTTAATGATGTGCATGAAACATTAGAAACATTAACTGTTTTATAACAGCTTGGTTAACATGATATTCCATGCTTTTGGATGTTCTGTTGTTTCTTGTGTAAAAGAAACTAGCAACTCTTACGCAAAATAAAGCAATCACAGACCACATCAAGGAAATGGGAAATGATTCCATCGATTAAGAGGACGATAGGGAGTAGGGACACTGGTGTTCCAAATAGGTATTAGAATATGCTTAAAGACCTGCAAATCAACACTCTAACCTATATTGAAGCTTGATTGTCTCTGCAGCACCTTCTGCAAACGCTGTTTCATTGAGATATACCATTAGTATCAAGAGTGAAATAGAAAAAGAAGTACCAAGACCCAAGGAAAACAATCAATGCTTTGATGACTAATAATTAAATTTTGTATATTCCATACAACATGTATGATGTGTTCTTCACTGAATATGCCCTCTAAAAAGGAGAAGTTTGCTTTAAAACTCGAGCCATAAAGATAGAAATGCCAAACTTACCAGCAGACAATTAATACCATATGAATCATGAATATCCTTACCAAGAGAACAATGCTGGTTGGTCTCATCAAAGCTTGTCTTAATCAACTCAAAACACTAAATGTTAATGGAGAGAGCAATGAAAGATAAACTAGATCATAAGAGCCACTGCCCTAGTAAAAGAAGTAAAAAAGAAACAAGAAACTAAAGAAAATGCTTATATCATTCCCATCCCAATCAAAAGAAAAGAGAATGCAAGAATTGAGGGCAAACTACATTGCTACCAAACAAGATTCTTCCTCACATTTATTGAAGCTACGCATCTAGCGAAGATTCTTTATGCTAAAAAAGAAGCAAATGAACTTCGGCAAAAGTTCTCATATAATGCTACAGGGGATTTTTAATTCCCAAATTAAAGTGCTCATCCGATTAATTCCTCAAATGGGGTGTTTTCTACAGTAAATTTGGGATCTCTCGGCGTCTTTAGGGTTAACCAATTTTTTTGTGGGATCTCCCGGCGTCTTCAGGGTGTTGGATTATTTGTGTTTTCTATGGTAGATTTAGGATTTCTCGGCGTCTTCAGGGTGAACTAGATTTTTTTTACTCTTTGCTTGGATCTCTAGGCGTCTTTAGTTGAAATCCATGAAAAAATTTGGCCTTTTTACACAAATATCACCTTAACATAAATTAATTACTTGTTAGGCACTGTTTAAGAATATTTTATAGATCAAGCAAATTTTTAAATACTTTCTATAAAATTAATCATATTTTGTTAGTATTTTATTTAATTATTGTATTATTTAATTTTTTATTATTATTTTATTTAATTATTTTATTTTTTTGCAGTTATAAAATGGAAAGTGGTCCTTGAGTAATTATATTCGGATTTCTCGGCTTTTAAACTTCTCTCTCGGCTATAAATACGCTCTCAACACGTGAATATCTATACTGAAGCGACGACATTCTTCTAGTTTAGTGGATTGATGTGAATGTTTACAGGTTGAGAGCGTATTTACAGCCAAGAGAAAAGTTTAAAAGCCGAGAAATACGAATATAATTATTCAAGGACCACTTTCCAATTTATAACTGTAAAAAAATAAAATAATTAAATAAAATAATAAAAATTAAATAATAAAATAATTAATACAAAATATGATTAAATTTATAGAAAGTATTTAAAAATTTGTTAAATCCGTAAAATATTCTTAAACAGTGCTTAACAAGTAATTAATTTATGTTAAGGTGATATTTGTGTAAAAAAACCAAATTTTTTAATGAATTCCACTAAAGACGCCTAGAAATCCCAATAAATAATCCAAAAATCTGATTAACCTTGAAGACACCGAGAGATCCCAAATTTACTGTAGAAAACACCCCATTTAAAAAAATTAATCGGATGAACACTTTAGTTTGGGAATTAAAAATTCCCTGTAGCATTATATGGGAACTTTTGCCAATGAACTTCCTTTATACATAGCCCAAAATTAGAAGCAAATTTTCCAGAAACAGTTGATAGTACCAACTCACCTATTTCTTTATTGCTACCTACCCGTTGAAATCTTTGAATTTTTTTTATTGTGATTTTCCAAGATAAGTTTGTTCTTGTCATAAAAACTATGTGAAGGGTATTGAAGTTAATCTATTTCTTAAGATCACTATCTCTTCATGAATGAATATTTGGTTAATCTATTAAGTATTTATAATTTTACGTACCCTCATCAAATTATGATTACAACTTACGTATCTATACTTTAATCCCGAAATACTTTAATACGTATAACATATGCGTCATAATTGGTCATTTAATTTCATGTCATACTTTATATAATATTGTACATTATACATAGGTGCCCACAATTATAAATTTTAATCCAACAACAGTCTCATTTTCATAACATAAAGAGAAAAGAACTTAAGAGCCACATAATCCAAAGGGAGATAAAAACTCACTTTCTCCATTGATATAGCGGCCATTGCAGAGAAGAGAGAGAAAGAACAAAACAATAAAGATTTTTTTTACAGAAAATTTCAAAATATGCATTTATTTATTTCAAATGCCACTCTTGCTCTGAGTTTATAAATCTGGTACTTCCACGATGAAAGAATTGATTAAGTGTGATGAAAGAAGAGGCAAATATACTTATATCTATTCTTCTTCTTTTCTGTCTATATATCATTGGATAAAAAACATTACTATTTCCTGCCATGATAAATAATTATTTGCATAATATATTACATTATGCATGGATTTAAAATAATTAATTTTCATAACTTTCTATGTCTCTTTTCATTACCTACGTTTTAATTTATTTTTAACTTTTAATTTTGAGAATTATGATATATTTAATAATGAAAAAACAATTTTGTATTTACAATAATGAATAGAGTACTATATTAAATATATAATATGTATCAACCAATATGAAATTATAATATATTTTTTAATATTAAATAGAATAAACACATGAATTGCACGAGACAAAAAAACTAGTTAAATATATAATATCAATGAATCAAATAAGAAAAAAAATATTAAGAACTCATGGTAAACTTTTAGACCAATGCATCCAGATTCATAGTAAAATAATTAATAGTTGATATAAGAACCACGCACTATAAGATAAAACCGTTAATTTAATATTTTTATAACATTTTCATTAAAAACTTATTTGAGTTTTTTTAAAAACCAAGATTAAATCTAATTCAAAATAAAAAATAGGAATTAATTTTTAAAAATATTCATATTGAGACTATATTTATCATTTTAATTAAAAATAACAAAAAAAATTCTTATATGTTTAAATTAGATGGATTCCTACTGCTACAGTATATGGAATTTCAGCTAACATTATCACTTTCATCTTCTGAACCTTTCTGTTTCTACGGAAACTTTAGAACCTTGAGTCGTACTATTGGTTAATTTTTTTTTGTTTTTTTCGATAATCCAGGTTCAAACAGCGCAGTCTGTACGAGTACGCGAGTTTAGATAAAAAAATTGTTTTTTTTTTTTTACCATTTTCATGATCAACGGACATTTCAAACTCCTTTGTTGCCTAATTCGCAAAACATCTTCAACTCCTTAATGATATCACAAGCAGCCGCTTCTTTAATCTTAAGGGTCTCGTTCTCTTGGGAAAGGAAATCCAAAGCTTCATCCTTTTCGGCAATGGCGTCCTTGAGCTGCGAATTCTCTGCTCGAGCTATGTTTGATGCTTCTTTGGCTACGTTAGCTTCGTTTATTGCCTGTTTCATGATATCCCGAAGCTTCTGGTTCTTTTCCTTGGCCTTCTTGTTCAAGTTTTCGGCCTCTTGAAGTGATTCGAGCAGCGATCGGCATGCTTGCCGTGCAGCATTCCGTTCATCTTCGGCTTTTCGAATGCAATCCACGAATCCGATCTCTCTTATGTTCCATGCCGTAAGCGATTCTTCAGCTTCGATTCTTAATCTCTCCGATGTGTTTTTATATCGATCCGCTTCTTTCTTTGCTTCTTTGTACTTTCCTTCCAACTTTCTCAGCTTCATCTTCAGATTTTCTAGGTACCATTTCGTTTTCTTGAGCTCGATTTTTGTTGATGAGAGTTTGTTCTTGGTTTCGTTTGTTTCTGTTATCACTTCTTTCAATGCCAAGGCTAAATCATCCATGGCTTTCTTGTTGTTTTCTTCTACATCGGTAATGGATTTCAGTTCATGATTTAGATAGCTGGCTTCCTCAGCTAGATTCTTGGCTTTCAAAGAAGAAGCTTGTTCATTTTCTTGAGCACGAGATAATTTCTCTTTCGTGGATTGAAGCTCGGATTCGAGTCTTCTTAATTTGTCATCTGCCATGAAAGCTTGAAACGAAACCTCCGATGATGAACTGTCGCCATTCTGCAGAATTTCCAGGAGAGACTTGATTTGGTTCTTGGATTCCTCGAGTGAAATCTTTGCTTGCTCGAACTCTTTCGATTGAGCCATGAATGCATCGTGTATCTTCTTTTCCGATTCTTTTCTTTCCTTGATTTGTTCGTAAAGTTCATTGATTCTCTCTTTATCTTCGGATAATAAACCAATTGCTTCGTACTCCAAGGATTTCACCATATGCAATCCATCTTTAAACTTATGAAACGAAGCTTCTTTCTCTGATAACTTCGTCTCCAATTCTTCAGCTTTTCCGAGCTCAATTTTCAAGGATTGGATGTCCTTTTCCTTCTTCTTCAATTCCTCAATTGCAACAGCTAACGAGTTCTTCGTTGACGCCATTGCAGCAGGCGATTGCTCCTTCATTCCTGCTGACAGTCCCTGAAATCCCAAAAGAAATCAATTTTTTACCAGGAAAAAAATTTGTAACAATTCGGAAAATAAAAATCATAAACAGATAAACCAGGCTCCACCCAAAAAATCTATGTTATTAATAAATATACCACTTCCTCAAAAAAAATTTAAATCCGTCACTGATTTCGAACTGTGTTCAACAACAAGAAAAGAGAAAAGGGGACATCGATGTACCTTGATAGGCCTGGGAATAAGGTTTCCACGAAATACAGAGAATTGTGATTGAGGGAAAGAGACAGGCCTGAAAGAAATCCAATGGGAAATGGTGCTAAAAATAACCAACGTTTGGTGATTGACTTTTCATATCTACTCCATTTTTTGTTCTAGTTTATACCACCCAAAAAAATCATGGTTAGTATAAGATTTTTATATTGAGTTTTAACTCATATTAGTAAAATTTTGTTTTTTTAGATACCCAATAATAATAATATATCACTATGTAGTTTTTAGAGTATCATAAACAATATAATTAATTAATAAACACGAACTAAATTCAAGTATCAAATAACATATCAATCTTTTATGTTTATATAGAATTTGATATATTAATATTCAGATTACTTAAAGTTTTGCATATTCATATATTACAATTAAAGAGTCCATTGAACGATTACGACGGCCACCAACTGTCGACTTTGGATTAGGTGTGTTAATTTTTGTGTTTCGGTTGTTAAAAATTAGTTATGCCTAAACGCAGCACTAAACAAGTTGCGACATACTTTTAACAGATTAATATCACTTATTCAAAATCATTTTAATATTTAATTATATATTTAATTTAAACTCAACGAGTAGTCCCTGTAGTTATAGGGAGCGTTATTCATTTTAAAGATCTTAAGTCCGAGTAGTTATATCTATATGATGTGTGTATTGTCAATAATTAAGAAAAATTCTAGGCAACTACTACAATGTAATCGTCCCAGGCTATTTCAATATTTTTATATGTTTAATTTTTTTTTATGCAAAGAGAAGTTAGGATATTGCTTATAATCATTGACGCAAGAAACTAGTCACTTAAGGTCATATAAGGAAAATGTTAAAAACTCATCCAAAAAACTCGTACAAAATATAGATACTAACAGATCTAACTGCATCGATAAATGAACCACAAAAGAGAATCAAACTACTGAAAGACCACTGATAATTGAAAATCAAAGTTGAGCGTCATGAGAAAACTATATTCGAATGCAAAACGCATATCCAAATGTAATATGAAGTCCAAAGCAGAGAAGATAAATAGGATAACAAATAAGCGTCATCTTGATCAGTCGAGACAACTCCAAATTCAACCATGAGAAAATTAAACGAAGAGAACGATCACACAACCGATAAAAAAGATTAAAAATATGTCAAAAGACACAAGAAAGTGTTTCATAAAGACAAAGTTATAAGAAACTAGAAAACACAAAGGGAGAATATAAAAATTATTAACAACACACACGCACCTTGCAAATATAACTACTCAAACCAAAAATCTTAAGAGATAATATTACTCTCTTCAACCACTAAGGTTAATAAGTTATTTATAACATTATTTGTTTTTTTTTAAAACTGAAGTGATTATGAAGTAGTATTTGTTCTAAAGATTCTAAAATATTTAACAATAAACACTCAAACACCTCTACAAGCGTTGATATTTAAACTCGAAACCTTTAAGAATAACAATAATCTCTTTAATTATTGAGGTAGATTAGTTTAATTTATCAGTAAACGTGATGTGTCATATTTATTTTCTCCATACATTTCATCGTTTAATAATTTAGATTAAACAGTTTATATATGATAGTATTATAAGATAAATTAAAATAAAAATATAAAATCTAGAATGGTTTTATAATTCCTTCTCGTAAACCCATATTCCAATCAAAGAAAATGGGAGATCATGTGACATGTGGAGTTGTCAGTTTTGGAACATGAAAACTGGAAAGATTTTGGTACAATGAATATGAAAAAGGATTTGCTTACTCTGGCTCTAATTATACCCATCGATCAAAGATTCAATAGGATATCAATCTCAGATCACAATTACGTAACGATCACAATTCATTTCCAAGATTTGGGAGGCCCAATTATTTAATGTACATATATAAAATCCTTATAGTAGATTTATACAATTCATATAGATAGTAGACGTGAATCCTTCAGCCTCTCCTTGTGTTAAAAAAGTTATTGAAAGATGTTTGAGAAGCCATTGTTGTAGTTTGATGAAGCTTCCTGTTGGACTTGGAGCTCAATGAAGAACTGCATCTTCCTCCCCCATGCTTCCTCTTTGGCTGCTGTGATGATTTCGGGATAAAAACTCCAGTACCTTTGCTTTCTCTTCTAAACATTTGTTCTTGCAGAAATGGAGATTGTGCTGTTGGGTGATTTGCACCAGTGAAACTCTGAAAAAAACAGTTGTTTTAAGAGAAAATGTTGTGATTTTCTGAGCATGAAAAGCATATAAAAAAGGCAAACCTGGATAGAAACTGAAGGATATCTGATAAGAGGTTCATCATTATCATCGTCCATGATAAGTAAAGAGATTTGCTTGCTTAAATCTGCAAAAAACAGATCATCTTCAAGCTCCGTGGCCATTTCCATGTCTTGTTTAAAACTACTGAGAGTGTGGGATTTTGGCAAGAATGCAGATGTTGATTGAGGAACCTCTCTTGGTTCATGGGGTTATATAAATATAGAAAAAGTAGGAAGAAAAGGGGCTGATTTTAATTGTAAAGGTGAATGCATCTATGCATGTCATAAAAGGGGGGGGGGGGTTTCTGAATGACAGTTGGCCAATCTGGTAATGAGTAATTCATGTGGCCCCACAACAAGCATGTTGTGTTATGAAGCTATCCGGAAGGAACTTATTTTTGGTGCTAATCTAAACCATTGGAGGACTGTGGATTGGAGTGTAAATCAGTCGGGTTGAGTTTGAAGATTGTTAAATTTGAAATTGAAAAGGGAAGTTTGGCTAGATTTAAAAATTTACGAGTCTAAAATTTTAAAATTAAATTCGAAATAAAAAATTAAAGTTCGACTTTGGTTCGATAAAACTTATACTCAAAATATTTTCATACTTAACTCGGACCTGAATATTAAGTACTCGAGCTCAAATCATTAATAATACACACACCATGCATATGTTCGAACCTAAGACCTAACATTTATCATCATTATGATACGGTAAAACATAAATTTAATATAATTATATAATATTTTTATTAGTTTCAAGAGATTATAAGATAGTTTCTATTCATAATCTTACAAGTTTATTAAAAACACAAATACCTTACATATGTAGTTTTGATATAAGACTTCAAAAGAAAATAACATTTTTTTTAACCATTTAGATCTTTAAGTTCGACTATATAAACTTTTAGATGAATGAAAAGAATAGAGGGAGAATTTAAGTGAAAAATCTAAGATCTAATCTCACGGTCAAGTAAAATCAACTCATGGATCTAACTAATCGTTGGACCCGTGAACAAATCTAAACAAAGAAAAGTTTATGGATTTATGTATAAAATAAGGTCTCTCTAATTATATTTAAAGAATGAGTTAATTGCATCACAAGTCCTTCAATTATCATTGTCATTCTAAATTAATCTATAAACTTTTAAGCATTTCAATTTCACCCCTAAACTATGACTGTCATTTTAAATTTGTCCTCAAAGTTTTGAAAATTTCATTTCCATCCCCACACTATAATCCTCATTCTAAATTGCTCCCTAAATTTTTTTAACATTTCAAGTTTATCCCATATTATATTATACATATATACTAATCACATCCTAGTTAATAAAATCATTAGGCAAAGTTATATTATTATATGTTTGAAAAAAATTAGGTTAAACTATGGTTGAAACTGATTACATATTTGGATGAATTTGGGAATGAAATTAGAATAAAGTTTAGGAACCAATCGTCCACTAAAAATTTAAAAGTACCATATATTTTAGATTTTTCTATGTATTTTTTATTAAAAATCTATTTTCGTCCCTTGAAATTTTATATATTCATCCATTTCTAAAATTTTATAAGTTCGTCCCTTAATATAAAATCCAACATCCTTTCCAGATTAGATGTCTAATATTTTTTTTAAATTATTCATTAACATCAAAGTTAAATATCACTCTATTTTCTTAATTTACCAAAAAGAACTTGATAAAATGTAAAAGCGTGGTTGTCTATGTAATAAAATTATTAATTATTAATATATAAAATATAATTGTAAAAATACTAACACTATATGACTATAATATACATACATTGTTGTTTTATTTTATTATAAGCAGGTTGGGCTGTTTGCTGACCCTATGGCGGTGCCAAAAGAATTTGTCAAAGTGAATTTTTTATTATTTATTTTTTGTAGTTTCCGTACCATCAGCAGACACTAATTAATTTGTTATTGGGTTTTCTGCTGCAGACAGATTGTCTTTGGGGCGGTGGATTTTTACGTAATAAAAAAACAAAAATTCTTTTAAAAAAACAAATAATTTTATTTAATAAACAACATAGTCCAAAAGAGTAGGATTTACCCTTGAACAATATTACCATGGCAAATAGTTTCAGATTAGCAATAATTTGTCTAATCCTTTAGACTGCCTTTATAATGATAATAATAATAAATGCAATTGTTGCATTTGATGAATAATTACATTATGGTAATAACCTTAAAAAACATCCTTAACAGATCAGTATAAAATCAATGAATTTCGCCAGGATGCATTGATAAAGCCTTATCTAGGCATGCAGATTTGCAATGCCTTACTGAGAAAATAGCAGAACATAAACCATTCGACAAACTTAGATAAAAATGTAATGGTCCCAACAGAGATTTTTACAAGAGGCAGCGCCATTTGACATTCTATTGATTGCTTAGATAACCAGAACTTTAGTTGCCACTATTCAAACTTCTTGATAAGGGACAGGTCATTTAACATTCTCTCGATGGCATCGTCGTCATGAGCACGTCCTTTAGTCTGCATTTCAAAGACAATTTGTTGCTACAAGTTCGAGAAAATTTAACAATTCAATCTTAATTATTCATAAGTTCTAGCTAAAAACAGTAATAAGAGACCATATAAATTCTAGAAATCAAATTGGCCTCAAAATCACTAGAGGGGTGGGATAGCATCTGATGAGACATTGCCCTTGTTTTCATGGTCGAGAGAGAGTGGGGCCATCAAAACCCCTCTACGTACATACTAGACAATGCATGAGAAAAGGATGAACATTATATTTAAATCTAAACACCATCCTATTAGTCTCATGTTTTGTTGTATATAAGGGTAGGTAGAGAAAAATTTCTCAACATAAATGCAAGTGAAGGATGAACAATCAATTACTATTCAAACAATGAGAAAGAAAAATGGGCATAAAAGTTGTATAATTGCATAAGGAGTGTGCTTAGCATTTCATACCTTGATGGAAGGCACCATAGCAATCGCTTCCTCCACAGTCTCAGGACACAAGTTGCCAAGAACGCAAAGCTGCATAAGTAGAGTACAATATGAAGAACTTTTCTACATTGTCGTTAACATCATAATTTTAAGTTTACTGTTTTCCAAATATAGATCCTCACCTCGAATTCAGCTAACTGATATCTACTCAGAATTCTGAATTTCAGTTAAAGTTCACAATAGAGAAGTTACATATCCTAAGTATAGCAACAGATCAAGTGCACGCATTATCAAGTATCAACAATGTCATGAGAGGAAATATTAGTTGTAGATAAAACAGCACCATCTACTTTTATCCGATTGTAGAAAAGTATTGACAATGTGTCAAGATGTCCTTATACTAAGCAACTGATAGGAGAAGAGGAGCAACCAAAAAGCTTATCCAGACCAGTAAATAAATATGCACATATGCTTATATAAAGTCTATTTAGCAATTCTGGCAATTTAGAGGATACTCTCGAACTTGTCTAACAGCATCTGGATTTTTATAACGGCTAAAGCGTTTGACATACTGCAGCGACTTCTCAAATACTCTGTGAAACAAAGACAAAAGACAATCATTCACCGCATCAAGTGTGAGAGAAAAACTGAAATAAAGGCATGCTAATTTTCTAAACACCATATCCCATAAGAGCATCTCTTTATTCAGCATAAGCCTAAGGTTTATCCTTCACCTTGCACAATCATATATACGGCATATCCAATCGAATTAATCAATCCTATCGTACACACCGAACAAACCCCTCAGGCTAGAAAGTTGATACAACAAAATAAAAAATTCCGGAAACAATGTTACAACAACAAGGCAAACAATAATTCTATTTCCATGGAACATAATTTTCCCCGTGTTGAAAATTTATTTTTAAAGGCGCCTACATTTTCTAAATCATGTCATCAAAATTAAACAGAAACCCTAATAAGCCAATTACACGGATATAATCAAAAGAGAGGAGAAACGAAAAAGGAAAAAATTGCTTATGGAACTCACTGGGAAACATGATTATTAGGATCATCAGACATTTGCTGAAGCTGCTCATACTTATGCTCAAGAATCAAAGCCACTTCACAATTCATCAAACACTTGGCCTTCAAAAATTCTGTCCATAACAAAAGAGAAACAATTAGCTTGTGGGTCTTAATAATTTTATTCGGTTATGTATTGAGAAAAAGGGAAAAGGGCGGATTACCTTCTCCGATTTTGAGCTCGGCAGCGTTCTCTTCCTCTTCGCCGGACATGATTGAGAAAGGAGGGTTTTTTTCTGAAAAATAATTAATATTATAAAACCATAAAAAGAGAAGATCAAACAAATATTTGCATGGATTTTCTTGGCTTCTGACCTGCTTGATTTCGACGAGAGAGGTCGGCGAGGGGTCAGAAACCTAAATTTGGTTTTATGAATCTCAATCTTTCAACTATTTATAGTTGTAATATTTCCTCCTCTTATTAGGATTCATTACTGAATTTTTGGGTAAACTACACGCTTAGTATCCCAACTATTACTTTTGTTCCGTTTTGTTCCCTTACTATTTTCTCAAAATCATTTCTAACATTATGTTTTGGTTTCATTTTAGTCACTCACCGTTAAAAAATTAACCAACTATTGACATGATATTTTTTCAATGATGATGTGTCATTATCCTATGGTGACACATTAACATCACTGTTAATTTTTTAACAATAACTAATCAAATAAAACTAAAACTAAACATTAATGTAAACACCATTTTTTCAATATTATTTTATTATGTGTAAAAAAACAATATTAAAATGTAGTGGTTGAGGTTATTAATACCCCAACCACCCTTGTAAAATCAGAGAGCATTTCCCCGAAAATATGGAATGAAAGACAGTTTGCTTTGACTCTTTTTTCTCTCCAATATTGCTTTTCCTTTTCCTTTCTTTTTTGGCTTTCTCACTTGGTTTTTGCTTCGGTTTCAGGGGTTCACAGGCAGAGGGAGTGGCCACCGTTGAGCGGTGGCCAGCGTGCGAGAGAGATCCTCTCACGGCTAGGAAACTTTGGTTGTTGGTGGCCGGCGTTGGGGGTCGGTTTTACGTTCCTCGACGTTGTAGAGAAAGAATGGGAGAGGAGGATAACGGGAGAGGTTCTTGGCCGTTTAAGCCGTCTTTCGGGCTTCCATTGGTCGTGGTAAAGGTCGCCGTGGTTGTAGGTCAGTCATCGTCCTGGTGGCAGGCGAGTGGGGGCCGGCGTGCGGCGGCCGAAGGGAAGCGTTGAAGCTTTGGAAAGCTTCTGCCTGGTTCACGTAAATGGAGGAGGAAAATATTATGTTTGTATGGAAAATGGTTAAATCACGTATCAGGTCTCCTATTTCTAGGGGTTTTCTGTTTTGTTCATTTATTTCAGGGTCAAATCGCATTCCAGGTCCTCCCTATTTCAGCGTATCTTGCATTTTGGTCACTATCAGAGTAAAAGCATCCTTAAGCCCTCATATTTTAGCTTCTATTGCACTCTGGTAATTTATTTTGTTATTTATTTTGAATATGCATATTGATTTTATTAACTTTCGAATTTAGTCACTGTTTTTTATGTTTATTCATTTTAGTCACTGTTTGGATTTTGTTTTTATTATATTATGATTTGGATGTGATATTTGTAATTTATTTATTTTAGTAACTTTTTTTTATTTCTCATTTGGCATATAATTTGTAATATTCTAATTTAGTCCCGAGTTGTGGTGTAATGTATTATACATTATATTTGGCATGTAAAATTAGTAGTATGTATTTTAAGTGATGCATATGTTTTATATTTTATTATTTATAATTTAGGTGAATGTACAATTTTATTTTTTAAACTTAAGTACTTTATTCTCTTTATTTACATTTGTATTGTTCATTTTAGTATTTATTATTTAACCTTTATTATTTAGAACTTTAATTTTTGTAATGTTCATTTTAATAATTATATTTTGTTTGCTTATTTAACGTAATATTTATGCTTTAAAGTATGCACTTGTTAATTTAGTTCAATTTTATTTCCATCATTGAATAGCATTTAATTTTTATCTTTACTTTAATTTTCATTTATTTGTTCCTAATTAGTATTTTTAATTTATAACTTTTGCCATGAAAATTTGTTTGTGCATATAGATCTAGATATTTGAAATATGTATGAAAGCTTCATAAGCATAACTTAATCGATTTCATAATTGGATTAAGGGTAGTATTTATTTATTTTAAAATATTAAGAAGAGACGGTCTTAAAGTAACTAGATGTCCTATTCTGATATTTTAAAATAAATAAAATCTTTATTTAGAAAAACATAAAACTTTTGAATATGCTTATTTTAGTTTTATTCAATTTGGTTGAATCACATTATTTTAATATTGAGTTCTTGGGAGAAATTATTATATTCTTTTTATTTCAGTTAGAAAGAGAAATATTCGTTCTACAGTATTTTAGGGATTATTTTCTCTTCAATTGGAAATATTAGAATATTTTCTATTTCTCCTTAGAATTTTTCAGTAAATAAAAATTGTATGGTTGAATCTAGAATAATAGGATCATAACTTAAATTTATATTAAAATTCTTAGATTTTCACTATTAGAGACAATTTATAATCGATGGGGTACCAATTATGGGCGTTGTGGGGGTGCTTATCCTTCCCCACACGTAATTGACCCCCGAACCCTTATTATTTCTTAAAAATGAATTTCTGGTTACACGTGGATCAGTGTATCTTTTAAAATGATGTTTTTCTTAAAAATTCTTTTAAAAGAAATTTTTTAGGTATTCGACCTACCTAACCCAAAAGATCGATGGCGACTCTAAAACATTTCAAAACCTTTTCAAAGAAAACCCCAAGTCGTACTAAGTTTTTCCCCGCCAGGTGAAAAACGGTGTCGACAGCTTGGCGACTCTGCTGGGGACGTTGTGGATCAAGCCCTAAATCGATTATATATTGTCTCTATAGTTGTAAATTGAGAATTCGATTTTATTTAATTTACGATTATTTTGATTTCTTTCAATTCTTTTATTATTTTTTTTATCATTGTATATTTAATATTTGTATTTGATTGATTTTCAGATGTTAAAGTCTCAGATTCGCTTTAGTTCATTTTTGTGTGGTTGTTTGTCAAAGGTTTGATAATTTCTCCTCACACACGACACTTGCATTGCATAACATAAGCTATATACCCGAGCTCTTCCTTTTAAGTGGGAGTGAAAGCGACGTCTTCGTGAGAATTTATTCTCCGTGTCAGACCTAGCAATTAGCTTTCGGGGTTCATATGTCCTATGTCTTCGTGAGAATTTATTCTCCGTGTCAGGCATAGGAAAATGTGCCCCCTCGAATTGAACTCGATCTGCTTAAGCCTATAATGGGTGAGGATTGAGGGTCTGGCTCGCCCAAGGGGGCACCAACAAGGACAATTCGAGTACCTTTACTCTTAGAACTGAAACCCTGCATATAATAAACCGTAGAAACCCACCCGATTTAAGACAATACCGAAACTCGTCCATAGGTACCCAAATTAGTGTACGCAAAGGAGAAATGAACTCTAACCTTTGTTTTTTATTTTTATTTATTTATTTTTTATAATTGCATGTGAACTAGAAATTATGCGGTTAGGGTTTTATTTCCCCTTCTGTGTTTTATTCATTGTATTTTATGGTTTATTTACTAGTTGAATTTAATATTTTCATATTTCACTAACATACATTTTCTCTCTTTGATTATTATTTTTACTAACATCTTTTCCTTGTATTGTTTCTTTATTTGTGCATAAACATGTTGTTAATACCCGAGCTATTTATCAAAGTTAGAAGGCTTTTAAAACAACAACGTCACACGAAGGGGTAAATATTTTTATCTACTTTGACATATTGAGACGTTGTGTGTTCTTTGAAAGTTGTTCTAGGATAATTACCTTGGAATTAACACATGTTTCATATATATCATAACATAGAGGGTATTGATTCCGAGTTAATAGTCATAATAGAAGGTTTTCAATACGACAATGTCACTCGAAGAGGTATAATAGAAATGCAAAAATGCATCAATGGTCCAGAAGGGTGTTCCAGGAAACAACTGAAGAGGTACATCAAGCTGGAATACATGAAGCTCAAATGATACAGTAAAATAAGCTTTTCAAGGGTGCTACGATGATGTTGATACAAGTAAAAAATATGATTGAAGTCATCAGGCAACAACGACAGCCAACACGAGACAGTGGATGATGTCAGTCGCATATGGTCGCTCAACAAATGCATTTCTGGAAAAGAAGTCGAAGCGTTGGAATTTTCCATCAAGCCAAGGATAAAAGAAGATTGTTTCCTTGCATTCTCGATCAAAATTGAAGAAGTCGAGCAATATGACGTGATTTGTAGTTTTTATCTGCCTCATTGTATTAAGACATTGTGTGTTCTTTGGAAGTTGTTTTATGACAATTACTTTGGGATCAATTCCTTTGTTGCATTTACATTTTGTATTTTTGCATTCCCATTTTTGTATCTTTTCATTTGCATGTACATCTTCACATATTTACATTAGCATCCATACATCGTACATTGCATGATATATATTGCATATCAACGTTCATTATCACGGATCCTGGGAGTAACTCGTTGTATCTTTTGAGGCAAATTGAAGTCACCCCTTCGTATTTAGAAAATAATTGAGAGCTAAAAGACGTGATGTTAGAGCTTTCTGAAGTTTGAGGCATATCATTGAGATCCGTGGGGCATGGAGAAGCAAGGCCCATATTTTGTTTGACCCAAGGGTATTAACCTTTAACTCGTAATGAGACATTCTGGGGCCAGTTACCAGGAAATTCTTCCACCCATCATGAAACCTTGTTGCCCTGGCCTTGTCCTGTTTGAACGTGTTTTTGTTCTTTCCTTAATATATATTTTTGATAATTGAACTTACGTCATTTTCTAAGGTTATGAGCAATAATAAAGTTTTAATCTTGTAGTTCTTTGAATATCGAATGAATTAAAGGTTCTTTTACTACTTCATTAATTTTAGATCTTTGACAATGGGCAAGATTAGACCTTCCATACCCCATCCAAAGCCGAAATAACCATTGATGAGTTCCTTACCCGAAATAACACACATTTACTCCCAAAAGACCAAACTTTGATATCACTTCCCTTTGAAACAATAAAGTCATGTCCTTATCCCCTGAGGCGCAAAAACTGGTACTTTTACCTTCCCAGACATAAATAATCTTTTCATGACATTACATTTTTCAGAATTACGACTTTAAAGTCACACATTTCCCTTCCTATACACAGAACCACCATTCATTTCCCATTTTCAATAAAATCGGGAGGTATAAAGTACAAGATGTCTGCATATACGAGAACCATTTCTGCAAGAAGAAAGACAAGATGGAGTGTTGCAGATCAAGTTTTTTGAATGAGGATTAGAATAAT